TTCGAATTGGACCAGAAATATATGTGTATGTGATTGCTGGAATTATTGTACATTGTTCTTGTATAGGATATTTGTGTTGTCCTTCATCAATTGCAACTTTGATTAGTATATAAAATTATAAATGTACAAATGGCCTTTTGTAGAGTTCATGTTTTATCCATATATTTAAGCGATTCCAATGTAGTTGTTATGAACTAACCCATAGCACCTTCTGAAACATGGAAAATTTATCATTTTTGTAAGTTCTAAAAAATCTGAACCTATTTAGCCATCCGCATAAGAAAGCTAAAACTTTCAATAAATGACTTATTTTATATTTTATCAAATTCTATTCGTATGTTACTCTTTGTTGCTCAGTTTGCTTATGTTGTAGTTAAACTGAGAAGGATTTAACAATTAGTGAACCCTTGACAAATACACAATTGAAGAAAAATAGGAAGTAAAATGAGTGCAAAACCAAGTGAGAGCTAAATAGTGCCTGCAGTATATTTAGTTTGCACAGTAGACTTAAGTATGGTGTTTTTCACATCTGCTCTTAGTATGCCTTGGGAGAATGCAACTTGCAAGCCGCCAAACAAGTGGTTTCTATTTTTAAACGTTCCTTCTACTCATTCTATGCTTTACATTTGAACTCCTTTTGTGTAGAAAATATTTAGTTGCATAAATTTGTGCATAGAATGGCTTTTTAAAGTAGTTGGTTAACTATGTAGAAAATATTTAGTTGCATAAATTTGTGCATAGAATGGCTTTTTAAAGTTGGTTAACTATAGGTGTCAACTTCTTCTCTGTATTCTTCATGCACCAGTAGTATACAGTTTTATGTCTTTTATCATAACAATACTCTAAAACTGTCTAACGGTTCTATCGTTGTTTTTCTTGGGTAAGTGGGTTCATTTGTGTGTGAATGAATTCAGTAATTCAATAACCTTTTCTAGCAGTACTTCAATTGCAGTACTGATTGAATTCTGCTAAATATACAATATATCTCATATCTGTCTTCATCTTTGTTGGAGTTTGTAATTTCTTTCCATGAATTAGTTCAACTGTTTAGCATTTCCAAGATCAAGTTCTCTTCTGATAGATAAATTTGTAACTTGGCAATTTACAGAACCCCACCAACAAGAAAGAGATAAATTGTGATGAGAAGTTGAAGGCTATATTCAATGGAAGAGACAAGGTTGGGTTTCTGGAGATTGCCAAGCTGCTCTCCCAGCATTTTCAAAAGGCAGCTTAAGTTGTTACATGCGATTGTGTAAACATTAGATGGTAATTCTTGATGATTAACTCCTATATTTGATTTGAAGTGGCAATTTCACCTTTACCTTTCTCCTTTCTACAATCCGGGTCTAATCAATTTGGACTTCATTTTGTATGATGAATTTGCTTTTCTTTAATGACAAAAAGATTAGGTTTTTAGGGTTGTTAACTTGATTTGCTAAGGGAATCTGGCAAGGAAATAGTTATTGACCACCATGACCTAGCTTATTCTTTTCTTTTTTTTCTTTGTTAAATTTTGGCTCAATGGAGAGTAAGCACTATTGCTTTTTCTTTTTGAGTATTAACTTGAACAACTCATTAAGTGAAAATTTAAGCATCTGTGGAGTAACTAGAGAAATTTTGAATTTTCTAAAAAATTGAAAGAAAAAATTCTTTTTGTCCAAGATCTTTTTTTTTTTTTTATAAAATTAAAAAATGAAAATAAAAAATTAGAAAACTTTCCATTTTTCCTTCACAAAAAAAAACAAAAAATTTGAAAAGCATTTTTTTTCTTGTTTTTTTTTTTTAAAAAAAAAAATTCAAACCCGGAAGTATATAAAATTGTATCTATAACCACTACAATATAGGTGAACACACCACCCCCACCCCCCCCCCCCCCCCCCCCCCAAAAAAAAAAAAAAAAAAAAAAAAAACCACAACAATATAACTATTTGGGTCACACTTGTGTGTGGCGGGTCGGGTTAATATGAAAAAATATAATATTAATTAGGAATAAGTGCTCTTAAAGGAAAACGTAATAACAAATGTAATGTTTTTATATTTTTTTTATATAAAAGTATTACTTTTTTTCATAAAAAAATATTATGTTTTCCTTATAAGTAATGTTGGCAAGTGTTTGTTACTTATAAATGAAAATGTAATACTTTTACATCAAAATACAAAATTATTACATTTCCTCATATAAGTATTAAACATTTTATTCTTGCTTTAGTATTACATTTGCTAGTATAAATATTACATTTCATATTGTCCCGACCCGTCTCACAAGTTTTTGCCTAACTATTTAGTCTCCATTAAGGCTATATATTATCTGTCACTTGTTTATTACTCCCGCTGTTTTATTTTGTCTTGTCTTGTTTACTATTCAGTGGTCAAACAAACTATTTTTCCTTTACTTATTTTTTTATTAGTTTTTAATTATTTATAAATTTAAAATTTTGTGTTTTATAGTACTTTTAATGTAATTTCTAAATATATTAATTTTATATACTAATACTAAATTAATATTATGAAAATTTGAATTCATACTAACTTTAGTTAAGTCTGGTTAACCGAGTCAGATACATAAAATGGGACGGATGGTCGGATGGATTACAACATAACCTACTTAGGATACTTAGGTTATCATTATTGAAAAAGATCGTTGATTTTGAATACAAGTGTTTCTTATAAGTTCTACTTAATTTTAAAAGACAACTTTACTTATCTTTAATTAGAATTGTTTTTTTTTTCATATAAAGAACAATAAAAAACAAAAGATAAGTGTAGAAAATAGAACTAGGGACACAACAATTGGTAACGCAGTTCAGAGCTAAAACTCCTACGTCTGCGGGGCAACTCACGTCAGCCCAATCCACTAGATGTTAACCAAGATTACAAGAGTTTGTATGACATAATCACATACATAAAGGCCACAGCCAAATACACCAATATAATCTTCAACTCATCTGCGGTGGAAACGCATACGTGCATGCCAAGATCAAACTTCAACTTCCAACTCGCTGAATGCAACTCAAGATATACAACTTCATGGAGAATATATTTTCAGTCCAAGATATATAAAGACAGGAATACGGTCTAAAACAGCCTTACATAAAATATAACCTAAGTTTTGACAAATAATTTTAGTAAATTAAATTAGGGTAAAAATGTATATCATTTGTACACTCACAATTATCTCTGGAATACTTTTTCACTTTCAAAAATGCATCTCACTTTCACATTATCAAATTTGCAATTCATTCACTATTTTACTTACATCCCTGCAATATTCTCTTCCTTTTAAAAGTGACACACTATCACATCACAATATATAATAAAATAACAAAATAATTAAAAATAAATAAATAAAGTACAAAAAGGCTACCATGCAACAACCTTTTATGTACTTAGGGCATCCCTAATGGAGGTTTTTAGCAGTGCTACAAACTTATGGAGTGATTTTTCACAAATGGGGATGCTTGTTTTTCATTGTTTGATTCTCTTGCAAAGACCTTGGTTTTTGCTGGAGAAAAAAAAAAAGGGTAAGTAGCACGCTTGGAGCGCACCGCACGCCCCAACGAGCGCGTGTTTCTCACGTGCCCAGTGGAATGCTTGGTCGCTAACTGGTGGCCACTCTAAACCCACGACCCTTTTTTTTTAAATATAAATATTATCAAATTCTTTGTTTTTCTTTTCTGTTTCTCTTTCCTTTTTTCTCTCTCCTCTCTCTCCTACTTGGCTTTCTAAAAGCTAACAAAAAAACCTTCACTATTGAGGATGCTCTTAGTATCGCCATCTATAGATTTTGGGTAGGTTTTTGAGAAAAGCATGCTTAGGTGGGGAAGGGTGAGGAGAGAGAGAGAGAAAAAAAAAAAAAAAGAAAAAAAAAAACCTTCCTGCAAGACATTGGTTGTTGGCAGACTTGTGGGACTCAAAAATTCTCTTATTTTCTCTTCCTGGTCGCATGCAACGCAACTTAGCGCCTAGTTGGGCGCGTGCTATGTTAAAGACGCTATTCAATTTTATTTTATTTTTATAATTCTTTTTACATTTTATTTTCAGCTTTGTTTTATTTTATTTTCTTTTTCTCTCCCCTCCCATCTTATCTTTATTAATCACACATGCAGAAACTCCTCAAAAATCACAATTGTTAAAGATGCTCAACATCTCGCATAGATTTTGAGGAGTTTCTGCAACTGTAACTAGGAAAGAGAAGATGGGCGCCCGACTGGAAGAAAGGGAAAAAAAAAACTTGAAAAATAAAATTTGAAAAAAAAAAAGAAAGAAAAGTTCTTCGCATTAACGCGCCCGACTGGGCATTCTTAGTGCGCCTGGAGCTTCTTTATTTTTCTAGTGGGTCCACTATTCTGGCAAAAACCAAGGATTTCCTTCTAACGAGAAACTCAAAACCATATATTATTGGAGGAGTGAAGTATGGATTTCAATATTTCATAATTTATTTTTCTTATTATTATTATTATTATTATTATTATTATTATTATTATATTATTATTATTATTATTATTATTATTATATTTTGAAATCAAATTTGTAACATTATTTTTTCACTTCCTAGTCTCTCATTTAATGGTTTCTTCAACTCCAAAAAGTACTTCAATAACCTTCGTATAATTTGTTAGAAATTTGGTTTTACATGTCTGAAGATAATAGTCAAGTATTATTTTGTTTATACTGAGTCTCAAGTTCTTTATGCGAGACTAACATTTCTAACAAGTCATACAGGGTTATTAAAAACCTTGAAATAAGAACTGAGATGAGGAAAATAATGCAGCAAAATTAGTTTAAATACAATAAGAAGAATAGTATGTGAAATTTCTACTTTAACCCTCTAATATTAGAAAGTTTTTGAATTTTCTATCAAGTTAAAGACGAAATGTCGGAAGAACAAACTCAAAACTTTGGTCAAAATTGAGAAGTTAAAAATGAATATTGTCATACCTGAAGGACTGTAGATAGTAGATACGGAGTATATAGTAAGGAGTAGTTGGCAATATAAAGCTGTACTGAAAAAAAAAAAAAAAAATCAACGCCCAAAAGCAAACCTACTTCAGAAGTCAGAACTGCTCGTTGCTTGCCTCAACCACAGACCACATCTCCGTTACTCGTCTGCTCCAGCGGATCTACCCATAATTTGACGACGCCAGCCACCAGCGACCACCGCCTCATCGGCGAAGCCACTGCCAACCGCTGCCAATTTGCCAAATTCCCCAGGTATCTTATTATTTTCCTCAGAAACCTAGTTTTATCTTCCTTTCTGTGAACGGGTAAAGTTTATTAAAATAGTTGCTTGGAAATGGAAGAATAAAAAAAATGAAAGAATTTAAAATCCCACTAATAATGAGCGTTGTTGTTGTTGTTGTTGTTGTTTTGTAGTTAATTTGCAGTCTCACAATATGCGAATATCCCACTGATAATTAGTGTGTTATTTGTAGAATCAATTTAGTTAATTTGTAGTCTCGCTATATGACAATATCCCACTGTAATTCTGTAAATGTATGTCTAATGTCTGTGTATATTTGCGGTGATTTTATTGTGTAATGGTTAATTTCAATCTCTCTTCTTTTTCATCTTCTTCTTCTTTTCTGGTCTATATTTGATGAACACAGTTGGTTGGTCCTATCTCTTTAATTTCATAGTAAATGATCTCAATTTGGGTATAAAGATGGTCAATAAGTTGATTTAACAGTTTTGTGATAATGTTCTTGCCTTCTGGATTTTCTTGTTGTTTCTTTTGGATTTAGACATTGATCTGAATTTCAAGAAAAAGTTATAAGTGGATTATTTTTTGTTACTGGAACAAGATGGAATAGGTTCGCTTCTGAATAGCTTTTAAATTCTCTTTTGGGGCTTTAAATTCCTTTTTCCCTTGTGAAGTACCTAAAATAGAATATTATTAGAATAATATGATTTGACATAATCAGAAATTGGAGCTGCTTAGATCAAGAGAAAGCATTTTCTTTCCTGATTTCTAAATAGATTTATAGATTATGAATTCATTCTTGTTTTTCAAGTAATTAGGTAGTGGAATATATGGTTTGATCAGTTCCTAGTCTTGTCTCTTATTCTTGCATTTGAAAGGTTCATACCTTGTAAAAGTAAGATGCTAATATGGTCTATTTAGCTCAGGTGTACCATGTGATAACTAAGAGAGAATGCCAGAGTTTGAACAAAACTCACAGTCAATTGTGCTGGGGAAAAAAAATCTAATTAGCTTTAATTTTTCGCCCCCACTCAACATTTTTTCTTGCTCTGCCATTGCCTAGCCATTATAGCTCTTCAACCTAGAAGCTACTGCTGTTGGTTGTGACAGTGTAGCTGATAATACATGATGTTTAATCATTTTAATAGACTGCAAGAGAACAACATCCGGATCAATATTTCCGAGCAGCCTGAGATACTTTACTGCCCATGGAGAATTAACTGGTTGCTTTGGCTTGGAATCCTTATTTTACAAAAACTTAGCTAATTGAAGTTCAGTTTTGTTGCAACAAACATGCTGAGCAATAAATTACTTTCCCAATGCTAGGATCAAGACAGTAATAATTGTGAAAAGATGTAGGATAACCTATAAAAAGATGTTGTATAGATGATTAACAATGGGAAACAGAGACAACCAAAACCATAATTAGGTGGCTTGTGATAGAGCAGTAGAAAAGTCAGGCTAGTTTCAACAATGTGTGGATTATGGCATTCGACTTTGCCATTTTGCATGCAATCAGATAAACTTCAATAGAAATTAACTGCAAAAAAAAAAAAAAAAAAAAAAAAAAAAAAAAAAAAAAAAAAAAAAGAGAGAGAGAGGAGAGAGAAAAATTATGAATTTTTGAAAATTATAGTGGTCAAATGGCATTTATGATTTAACTATCTTTGTACATTTCAAAGTAATCTAGTATGTTTTGTAAGTTAGATTTTTAAATGAAATCTACACATTTTAAAATCTGTTTTCTAATTTCATTCCCTTTGTGTTAAAGGCTTAAGAAAACTCAGTGCATCCTAAATTACAAGCTGCGGAGTAGGTATTGTACCAGTAGAGGGAAAGAAAAATCCTCTCACACATCACTATGTCTTCGAACAACCCATCTCAACTACTTCCATCTGGTATCTTTCCTTGTGCTTATTTTTTATTTTATTGTTTTTTAAAATTGTCAGCTAGATTTTAATTTTTGAAAGTATTTTTAAATTTTTTATTTGCAGAGCTAATTGACCGCTGCATTGGGTCCAAAATCTGGGTCATAATGAAAGGGGATAAGGAGCTTGTTGGAACCCTTAGAGGATTTGATGTTTATGTTAACATGGTCCTGGAAGATGTCACTGAATAGTACGTTCCTCTGTTAAAATTTGGGTTTTACTTCAATTTAAATGTTTTTGCATTTTTCAATTATTTTGTCTGAAGCCAATAATTAAAATAGGAATCAGTAAGAGATAATTAAATTTTATTTGCATTTTGTTTTGTTGTTGTGATGATGATTATGTTTTTGGGTGGTTTATTTTATGTTTGAGATATTCCAATTATAAATGTTTACTGATTGAACTCTGATTGATGTGCCAATCAGAAGTATGAGTAAAGTTTGCCTCTTAGAGGGGAAATTTTATTTTGAAAACGTAAGGTGAGTGCTTAATTTAAGAATATTTCCTGAGTTTTTAATTAGAAAATGGCCCATGTTAATTTTCAAGCCTCTGAAAAGTATGAAGCTCGTCGTGCTCATTTTATAGCCTTAGTGGTACATGTGCTAGCACTCCACAAAATGCCTGTCTTTATTGTTTGATGTACTAATGCCAATGGCTAGAATTTCATTTCAAGTTTAGTGGTGTAGTCTCCAAAAGTGGTCACCTGTTATCTGTTGAGCGGATCAAGCCCTTGAAGCTTCTATTGATAAAGGGTTATGGTTGTGTTCGTTTTCCTACTTACCCAATGTGATGTGCCTTGCGCCCTTGCACACTAGATCTGTCTTGAACTCCTTGTTCCTCATGTAAAATACAGAAAGAATCAAAGAATCTTAGCCGTGTACCCATTAAAAAGAAACAATCTTAGCTCATGTTTGAGTTTGACAGCATTGGATGTCAATTGTGTCCAATCAGATGAATCAGGATAGTGGGCGGATTATATGTCTGGCTTTTAGGATGTGATTCGGTGGAAAAAGAATTATGGAGCATAATGTACATTCCAGGGTTTTATCCAAAATTCAGATCATAGCCTATGATTTGAAAGAAAGAGAAAAAAAAAGACAATACTTTGAAGAAGCTCAATTCATTAAAGTGGAGAATCGAACTTGTGTTGACTAAGGGATAGACATTCACATTTGCCTGAAATGTATCTACACTCTCATACTAAGTCACCCAAACTCAACTTCAGTTCTTTAAGGTTATGCCATTTGCTACCTTTCTGTTTTAGCACGTGACACTTGGATCTTTTGGTCAAAATGAAGGAAATTTAGGGACTTGCTTCAACTCAATTTTATGTTATTGGTGGCACAGTGTGAAATACCACTATCTCTCAGGTAGAAAACTGAAACTAATATCTTAATCTCATATTGCTGGGAAACTTTGTTTATTTGGATTTCCTAAGATTAGTTAATAAACAAGGGCAGCTTCACATCCAAAGCATATAATAATCTCTTCTATTAGTTGAACACTCAAAGCTTTTTACTTAATATAGTCTCTCATTGTTTTACTCGAAGAAAAAGATGCAGGGAGCTTACAAGCAAGCCGTTTCTATGTATGTATGTATGTATGCGTGTGTATAGTCCTTGCACACATACCCCCCTTTCATTTTATTTGGCAAATTAGCCACATTAATATGTTAAAAGTATTTGAAACAGTATCAGAATTTGGTCCATCTGCCATTGAGCTCAAGAGATTTTCACTTTGAAGCAACCATTTGTTACTCTTGTTTTCATATTAAATGCTTGTCATGTGAAATTCTGAACATTAGGCTAGAGTTTTGAACATCATAGTTCATTTATCTTTTTTATTAACCATGTTAAGCTGTCTATTGTCCATACTTAAACTGTTAAACATAATTGATCCCTTATAGATTTCTTTGTTCAATACTAACTGAACCTTACATTGCAGCGAGATCACCTCTGAAGGACGGCGAATTACAAAGCTTGATCAGATCTTGCTCAATGGAAACAACATTGCCATTGTGAGTAATAATATTGATTTAGCCATTAACATGATAATGCCTTTCATTCTTTAGGTATCATTATGCCTTTTGTGCGTGACAAGTTCTAAAACCACTTGTCTACCTCTTTGTGAAATGCAGCTTGTTCCGGGAGGCTCACCCGATACAGAATGAGATTCGTATTTGACTGCAGCCTAAGAAGTTGGTGGATATAAGAACCAATCTATTTTGTGTTTGTAGGCTTACTAACTGTCACTGATTAACTACAATTGTTGTTAGACCATGAACTTGATGAACTACAATTTTTTGTGACTGCCAATATGTCCAGTACTCTGTATTTGTTAAATGATTTTAAATTTGCTCATGCATGGGTTATGAATTATGATTTATGAGAAAATTGATGTCATTGAAGAACAACATCCATAAGGTAGCTGTTTAGGAATGCTATGAAGATGAGGAACAACAACTGAGCAATAAGCAGGTTCATGAGTCATGGAAGAGAAGAGCAGGCAAGGCACTAAAGAGAAAGACGGCAAAAATGGTTGTTGAAGAAGAAGAAATCAATTTCGTCGTCTTTCTCTTTTTCCTTGGCTGTTCTTCAATGACATCAATTTTCTCATCTAGTAGCAGATCCTCTTCCTCTGTTGCTTCCTTTTCCACATCTGTCTGCACCTTCAAATGGACTTAACAGAAATATTAACGGAGGACTATTTGTGATAAAAAATAAAAGTGTTTTGATCAAATTGAAAGTCAAGGACTAAAATGAGTATTATCTCAATAGTCAAAGGACCATTTATGGTATTAACTCTTTCAAATATGATCATTATGTTATAAACAAAACATTATACAGTTATAACAGATACAAAATATGTAATAATGTCCATAATAATGTTTTGTTTATAAGACTTCCTCTTGGACATTATTTGACATGATCTTGCCTTGTAAAAACTTGTTAGGAAAATTATGTGGGAAAAACCTAGACAAAAGAGGATAAAGTATATATTTAAATATATTCATGCCTCGTTAAAAACTTTACTAGGAAAATCACATCGAAAAAACCTAATTGAAGAAAAGAGTACATCATGATATATATTATATTGTTGCCTCATTAAAAACCCAGTAGGAAAAATTTAGTTAGGGAAAAAGAGTACAACCATAAACCTTCAAGGCATAATCTTCATGATTTTGGGGTTTGTCTATTTAAGTATTTATATGCAACTTTGCCATATTGACATTACTATATCATACTCATGCCAAAAAAATCTCATGTGTGCAATGGTACACATTGTTGTGTGCATACAATAAAATTCCACGTGCAACTGTTAACGCTGATATGTGCAACAAGGTATACTTGTGTGTGTAACAACACAATTCTGTGTGCAACAGTATACAATTATGTGAACTTGCTTATTCAAGACAGCAACGAGTCTAGAAAAATACGCATCCATAACCTCATCAACCAAGAATAAGCAAAATGCCAAGCAAATTAATTAAAATCCCACAAAACTTGGGATTAGTTAGCAATTAACATTCCTAATTTACCCCTAACCTTAATTAATCACCCAAAATCGTGCAAAAAAAAAAAAAAAAAAAACAGGGATAAAATTTTTAAAAATCTTTTATTTTAAGCCAGTGGTCTTCATATTTTAGTAGATTGGATTTGTCCACATGGACTCATGGAAAGAGGTGGACTCATATGATCATTAGAGCATCCACATCAATTGGGGAGAATGAGAGGATAATGTAAGAGTGATTAGGAGAGAGAATGTGGGAGGGGGAGAAAAAAAAATTGATTTAAAAAAAAAATAAAAATAAAGGCTTGTCAGGCGCGTGTAGTGCACGCGCCCGTGTAGCCTTGGCTGTGTGCAAACGCGCACAACATCTGTCTGTTTCTTTTTTTTTTTTTTTTTTTTTTTTTGACATTATTTTGTAATTTGCAGGACAAATATCTCCTCAAATAACTCCACCCCACATTTGCTATTAACCCCGCCCAAGATAATTGTTCTGACATTAACCCCATATTATCCACTAGTGTGGATGCTCTTAGTGTACACATACACACACACACACACATACATATTGACTATGTTTGGCAAATCTAGCTGAAAAGCTATAAGCTAGAGGCTGAAAAATGAAGAGTTGTTAAACTAGCTGATTATGCAAAGTGTTGGGTAAAATTAGTTTTTTGGATAAGCTAATAAGATTAAGAGCCTGTTTGACAAAGCTTATTTAAGAGCTTATAGCTTATTTTAAGCTACTAATAAGCTATAAGCTCTGTTTGGTAATGTTACCAAAATAAGCTCGTAGCCTAAAACAAGAGCTTATTTTGGAACGTTATTTTAGGTAGCGTTTCAAAATAAACTAGTAGCTTCCTAATTTTTTTCTTCATCTTTGTCCTTATTATTTTAAAAAATGACATATTTTACCCTTCTCAATTAAAATCATTTTCTCTTCTCCTTTATCCGCAATTATTATTATTATTATTATTATTATTATTATTATTATTATTATTATTATTATTATTATTATTATTATTATTATTATTATTGATGGGGTGTGAACCTCGTGGACTCGGGGCCCAAGAAGAAAAGAGATCAAGCCCAGAAGAAGAAGAAAAAGCCCAAGGGGAATGGCCAAGTCCAGAAGAGGAAAAGCCCAAAAGAGATACGAGCCAAACCGAGGAGTCGGCTCGACCCGGAAGTCGGCACAAGTAGAAGGTCGGCCTAAACTAGTCGTTAACCTATTTACTACCCTATTATTACCCCACTTATTACCACTAGTTAATTACCTAATTATTATTATTATTATCCATAACCCCCACTTAAACCCATACTCACTACCCAAATTAAGCCATCATAAAGCCTACTAATTACCCTCCAACGGACACTTTTGGAGGAGCTAGCTATAAGAAGGAGGGGAAGACAAGAAGAAAGAGGCCAATCATTCATCCACACATGGGAGGACTCTCCCAAGCACTATTCCTACACACTAGAAGTCCACATATCACTCTTTCACAACTACTCTCCCAAGAAGGCTTCACTCCACAATATACAAAGAAGACTCCATCACTCTTCCACGCATGAAGAAGACTCCATATGAGAAGACTCCACCACCATCCCACCAAGAAGCATACTCCATCTCTCGGTATCAAAGATTGCTTTATTCTTACACCATATCTCTATATACAAAATAGCCATACAACTTGTGCAAAAACACCTACAAAATACATAGTGGAGTTAGGCTTGGCACCGCCCAAAAAGGCCTGTGGTTTTCCTTTCGATTTCCACGTACAAAAAGCATTAAGTTATATTTGTTCTACTTATTTTTCTATAAGCCGCATGTGAAAGGTGAATCCACCGATCAAGGTTGTGTTGGACCTCCCTGGGCCCAAAAACCCAAAAACCATTATTATTATTATTATTATTATTATTATTATTATTATTACTATTATTACTATTATTATTATTATTATTATTATTATTATTATTATTATTATTAGGAGATTGACAACAATATTGCTACTTCATTATGTGATGCTAGATCATGATTATGCTAATAATTTTATTTTAAAATGTTATTTTTTTTAAAACAAAATGTTAATTTTAATATGTAAACAAACTAATTTAAATTTTATGAAGATGTCATTTTTTTTATTTTTTATTTTTTTTTTACATTTATCAACTTATCAAAAAGCTAATTTTACCAAACACTTTCAAGCATAACAACTAGCTTAATAGCTCTTCAGTTTTCAGCTCCTAGCTTATAGTTTGTTAGCTTTCAGCCTCATTTAAACTTTCAGCTAAGTTTGCCAAACATAGCCTAAAAAGGACATGTTCATAAAATTTAAATAGTTTTAAAATTTAAATAAGATTGTTTATATATTACGGAGTAAATTTTAACATTTTAAACTGTAGAGATTTATAGAATCTTATAAAACATTATAAAACTCATATGATTGTCTAGAATTTAGAATAGATTTTAGAGATATAATCATAGTTATACGATGAAGTAAATATCCACCGTCTGTTGAGGAGGTGTAATAAGTATAAATAATCTCATGAGGCTCATTTTGTAACAATCCAAGTGGTTAAGTATGAGGAACAAGAAGAATGCTTGTTGATATCAACTTGTTAAAAATATAGTATCTACTAAAAAGAATAGTTGTGTGCTATTATGAAAACAGATACACGTCATCCTAATACTAAGAAATAATATGTAAAGGTTGCTAGACATTTTCCCAAAAAAATAATATCCAAATCATATGCACATGATGCTAACAACTATCTAATATATTGGATCAAAGTGAATTATGATCATGAATTGCTTAAGAATCCTTTTGGATATCATTATCAGTGATGGATGACAGCTACATTTTTTAGAATTAATAATAATAGTTGCAGGATACAATAATTATATACATAAGAAGAGTTACAATAGAATATGGACAGATAGAGTCTTAAACTCCCCCATAAAGTCCTCAATTCCTTTCAAATGCAGGGTAAGCTAACCTGTAGCTTGTCATTGGCAAAATTTTAGGTATTTGTATTCTTTATCTTATTTTTAACTCATGTCTTGTTAACAAAATGTGACACATTTTCATTAATTAAAAGTGGAATTAAGTTAATTTGTAACTCTATAGCCCACAAAATGAATAAAAATTGACAATTGACCATCAAAAATACAAAATGACATAATATGGCCGATCCTATCCATAGGTTCATACTTATATTATTGATGACAAAGGCCACATCCAAAGATAGACCATGATTCAAAAATTTTATCTCTTTAATTTTGTTTGTACAAATAAAATTAATATGTAAAAAATATATTACTAAAAGTTCTAATTGATATGCTTTAATTAACATTCATATAGATATTTTTTTTATTCTTTTAAATAAATCTATAATAAGTATATAAAGTCATTACTTTAGGTACATAAATAACTTATTATTGCAACATAAGTCGTATAAAAGTGTACACCATCTTTCAACTCTTTAAATCACTTTCTCACATAAGGTTTATTTACATCATCACATTCTAAAAGCTAGTATTTTGTCATCATAGGTGATATCTCCAAATGATATTGGTTTATATTAAGGTGGACAATTCGATTCGATTTTCTCAAATTAATCCGAATCAAATTGTACTAAACCGAACTAGTAATATATTGAAAATTGAACTATTCAGGATTCTTGTAAATCGAATGGTTCGATTAAAAACCAAACTGAACCGAACAGTTTGGTGAAAACCAACAAAAGCACAACTTGAGTCATTGAGAATACAAAAGCTACAACCTGATAAACACACATGTGCACTGGTATTTGACTTAGAGTGTATTTAAAAACAAAAACAACAAAAACACAACTTCAATACATGCTCAATGTAATATAGCTGTGGCCCCACAAATGAGAGGTCTCATATTCGGATCCTAGTGTGTGGGTATTGACTCTTTATGTTTCAGTAAGTTGAGAACAATTGAAACATACACTATGCATCCATATAACAACTGAGGTGCAATGAGCCACATATTAAAGTAGTAATCAATCACAAAATGCATTACCCCCCCTCCCATGAGCCATAAATTATCACAAAATGCATTACCCCCCTCCCATGAGCCATAAATTTTGAATTGATAAAATATGTATGAATAGATAGGTAAAATTGAAGACAAAATTTAAACTTACCAAAAAAAAAAAAAAAAACACAACAACAATAAATACCTTTTTTAATAATTAAAAAAAAAAAAAAAAAACCAAAAGTGCACATAATCTAAACCAAAATAATCTCACCCATACGATGGACCGAGCAAGACATAAGCACAAAATAATTTCACATTTTTTGTTATACACCTTGTGTTGTTCTTATATTTGAAAGTTAGGGTGTGTTTTGGAAACCTGGAAATCATTTTCCAAAGTTTCTAGTGTTTGGATGCGTCTGGAAAATAAAGTCAACAGAGACTTTAGAAAATATGCTTGTTTTGGAGGAAAATGACTTCTCCTTTTGTTTTGGGAAGTCATTTTCCAACTTTTATGCCAACATCATACCATTACCATTATCACCATCAACACCATACCACCACCACCTCACTACCACGGTACCACCACCACCAATATAAGACCATACTATCACCACTACCACCATCACCACCACCACCACCAGTACACTACCACACTACCACCACCGCCGTCACTGTCGCCACCACCACTGCCACCACACCACCACTGTCACACCACCACCAATTATTATTATTATTATTATTATTATTATTATTATTATTATTATTATTATTATTATTATTATAATATAACAAATAACACCACGTACTACCACTACACCACCACCATCACTATTATACCACTTATTATTATTATTATTATTATTATTGTTGTTGTTGTTGTTTTTGTTGTTGTTGACTTTGGTGAGTTGTTTTAATATCTTATTAGTTATTTTATTATCATATTTAAAATTGTTATTATATTATTATTATATTATTATATATTATTATGCATGTTGTAATATTCTAAATAAAATAATTAAAATGTTTAATTATACAATTCTATTCATTTTTTAGAAAATAATCCAAACACACTAAGATAGTTATTCAGAATGCAACCAAACACTGGGGAGGAAAATATTTTTTAAAAAATCACTCATTTTTCAAAAAATATTTTCTAGAAACCATTTTTATGCTTTTCAAACGAATCCTTAGTTGAAATTGTAAGGGCGTAGGAAAAATAATAGATAAATTAAAATATTTTTTTTTTTTCGAAAGTTACTGGCTCTATTACATTGTAGTATCACTGAAACACAAAGAACCAATAACGCCTCCACTGAGGCTCGAACTTATAATCTTCCAAATGGAAGTCCAACCCGGATACCATTGGACCACATAGTCCTGGTAAATAAATTAAAATATAATTGTAGGATAATATCAACTTTTAAAATGGAAAATGGATTGATATGAATAGCCTTTGACCTTAGGAGAAGGTCAAATTATGAATAGAGAACAATAAGAAAAGGTTGAGAAATGAGAAGTACGCGCTCAGACACGGAATCGGGATGTACGCATCTAATGACGCGTGGAACCGAAAAATACTCGTAAACTTATATACGAAGCTACAATATAATATACCGTCTATACATATCCACTCTTGACATCTTTCATTTCATTCCAAATCGCGACTTCACAAAGAGAATCTCTGTAAGTTGATGGATCTGAATTTATATATGTTTGTGTATATGATGTTGAATCCGTAATTTAGATGAGTTCTTTGTTGAAAATCTGTATAGTTTGTTAGAGTTCATGAATTCTTGAGATTGTATTTGTGAATTTAGGGGTTTTTTTTGGGGGGGAGTTGTGATCAGATAAGAGATCTGAGGCGCTTTTTAATGCTTATTGATCCTCCATTGTTGATTGATCAGTTTCTATGGTAGACCTTTTGAATTGTAATTTTCTTGTTGACCCAGCGGCTATGAATTGATTAGCCTAAATTCCTTTGTATGTCCCTATGTAATCATGTGAAACAGTAGTATATTGTTTGGTTGATTTTCTATGTTCTTGTTGGCTATCTCAATTCTATGTTTGAGAGTTTGACGCTTCATAAATATTTAGCAATTCTCATCTTAGGGTAAACTATACACTGCTGGAAATGTCTAGCTTTGAATTTGAGTTTGGCTATTTAAAATAGAACAAACAGAGGAAGTGCATTGTATTTGATTTGAAGAGAACATTTTAAGCTCAATCACCTGAAATATCATTCTCTTATTGTCTAACTGGTTTCTTGTTCATCGGATAGGTACAAGTTGTTTTGTTAACTAAGAGAAATGGGGGGCGGAAAGGATAAGCATGACGAGTCTGATAAGGGGCTGTTTTCTCATCTCGCTCATCATGGTGGTCATTATCCTCCAGCACCTGGTGCATACCCTCCTCAACAAGGGTATCCACCTGCAGGATATCCTCCTCAGGCATATCCACCTTCTGGATATCCACCTTCTGGATATCCACAAGGAGGGTATCCCCCTCAAGCCTATCCCCCTCAAGCCTATCCCCCTTCAGGTTACCCTGTCCCTGGCCCATCTGCACCACACAAGTCAGGTACACTTATTGAATATCTTTTCTTCTTTCTTTATCCCCCAAAGTGGGGAAGACCTTGTTGAAACCAGCCAAGTACCTTGTGGTCTAATGACATTACTGTTACCATTTCAATCGGGTAGACATAGGTTGGAGTTTGAAAGGTTAAATTGTAGTAACCAAAAAGCAAACTTGTTACCATTTCAATCGGAAAGACATAGGTTCGAGTTTGAAAGGTTAAATTGTAGTAACCAAAAAACAAACTTGTTACCATTTCAATTGGAAAGACATAGGTTCGAGTTTGAAAGGTTAAATTGTAGTAACCAAAAAACGAACTTGTTGAAACCACGCCCCTCTCATTTTCACTTTGGCTTTTGCTTGCTGTTGCCAGAAGTTCAATTTTGCTACTTTTTGTTTTCATAAATAAACTAAAACTTTGATGGAAAACTTTGTTGGAGGCATTGAATGATAAAAAAAAAAAAAAAATACTCGTCCATTGATGCATAAAGTACCTGACAAGGCTAGCCACAATTCACAAGCACTTTGATATGCCCCGTGGCCTAGCAGTAGTGAATGAACACAATAAAAAATGCATTACGTCTTGCAACAAATTGAAAGTGCTGTGTGTAGTTTCCTTTGTGTTGGTGTGGCTTTTGTGCTGAATTTTTTCTTTCAATTAGGGCATCATGGACCTGGTATGGGGACAGTGCTAGCTGGAGGTGCCGTGGCTGCAGCAGCTGCTTATGGTGCTCATCACTTGAGCCACGGTAGTGGTTCTCATGTACCACATGGCGTTGGACATGGTGTTGGTCACTACGGCCATGGAAAGATGAAGCACGGGAAGTTCAAGCAAGGAAAATATGGCAAGCATGGCAAGCACGGAAAGTTCAAACGCGGCAAGCATGGAGGGATGTTCGGCGGTGGGAAGTTCAAGAAGTGGAAGTGATCCATTCTTGACCTCTATGCAAAACATATGCCAAGACCTTTAAGACTGCTAATGCTTTTAATTTAGTTCCTATGAATAAATTATACTATGGTACATATTTAATGCTCTATAGGTAACAGAAAACTCAGCTTTTGTGGCTGTGATGGAATCCATAGCTTTCATGGTTAATGTGACATCATTGTTAGTGTTTTACACTTTCTTCTCCATTGCTTTTCTGCTTTGTATGGGGGAAAAAAATATCCGAGTAGAGATGGAAAAATATTTACATTTTTCATTAAAAAATATCGTAAAATTTGCATGCTTTCTATAATACAAATTTCACAAACTTTAAAGCATAATTTGCATATCTATGGTCTTTGCTTCTAAATAGTGTTTTTCTCCAATCGTTATGCTGTGGAACCGTGTTTATCTTGTCAGATAATCACGATTCTATGTTTATAATTATTGAACTATATGTTCATAATTATAAAAGTATATATTCATAATATCATAATTACTGAATTATATGTTCATAATTATAAAATTATATATTAATAATTTTTAAATTTTATATTCACATTTATTGAATTTCTATATATATAATTATAGAATTATATGTTCATAATTATATTCACAACTCTATGCTCATAATTATGCATACAACTCTATTTTTATAATTATAGAAATATATGTTCATAATTATAAACAATTTTGGAACTGTGTTCACCTTGTAAGGTGGGCACGGTTTCACGATATAATTTGCCATTTTCAATAGTTATGTTGTGGAAACGTGTTCACCATGTATATTATGGTGAACACAGAGGTAGATCCATAATTTCTATACTTTAAATTCATATTTTTTTTTTTTTTTTGAAAACGTGAATTCATAATTTTGTTTTTCATTTGTTGTTAACGGGATAAATTCATAATTTCTAAGCTGTAAATTCATAATTTCTATACTGTAGATTCATAATATCTATACTGTAGATTCATAATTTCTATACTGTAAACTCATAATTTCTATACTGTAGATTCATAATTTCTATACTGTAGATTCATAATTTCTATACTGTAGATTCATAATTCCTATCTGTAAATTTATAATTTCTGTATTGTAGATTTATAATATCTGTAACGAAAAATAAAATTATGAATCTACGTTTTTAAATTTTTTTTTTTTTTTTTATAAATTTACAGTATAAAAATTATGGATCTACTTTTGTGTTCACCATGCGCATGGTGAACACGTTTCCGCAGCATAATTAGCGTAAGGTAATGGGGTGATCGGTTGGGTATGCTTATTTACTGAAACGGCTAAATACTATTTGGCATCCGAAATCAAGAATGGAACTCATTACACTAGAAAATGATTATTATCTAGTTAAGTTTGGATCTATCATGGACTTGAATTTGCTAAGTATGGGGGGCTTGGATGGTATTAGAACACTATCTCATTGTTATAAAATGGTACTCGAATTTTGATCCAAAGACAGAGAAGGTGATAATATGGGTTAGATTTTTTGAACTTTTTTTATAATATTACGATCAAACATTCTTATTTCGAATTGGAGAGAAGACTGGGAGACCAATCATGATTGATGGTGCCACAAGCCACTGTTAGCACGGTTCATGTTTACCTCAAAATAGTGTATGAACTTGTTGTGGGGACATTCTTGTCAACAGGAATCCGATGTCATAAATGTTAGTTTTGACCTTTTTGAAATGTCTTTGAGCTGACCTTGTTGTAGGGGATTGTGGCCAAATAAATGGTTTGCTCCATTAACATGGGTGGGTGGGGATCAAACCCTTAACCTCATGTTTAAGGGATAAGGTGCTGAACCACCACGCCAACCATGTTGATTACTATAGTGTCATTTTAATTAACTACAGTTTCACTTGAAATTATACCTTGTACCGCATACTCTGTATCATCATATACACACTGTAGTTTCATTTGACAAACACTACAGTATCATTTTAACTACACAGTTTCATTAACATTATACCCAACAACATGGCACCACCTACTCAGTTTCATTCTATACACCATGCAGTTTTATTACACAAACACTATAGTATCATTTTAACTACACTACAGTTTTACTTGAAATTATACCTAACAATATTTGACACTACATACTCTGTATTATTATATACACCCTGCAGTTTCATTTGATAAATATTCCAATATCATTTTAATTACTCCGCAATTTCATTTAACATTATACCCAACAACATGTGACACTGTATACTAAGTTTCAATATATATACCGTGCAATTTCGTTTGACAAACATTACAGTTTCATTTAACATTATACCCAACATGTGACACACCTATTTAGTTTTATTCTATACACCTTGTAGTTTCATTAAATAGAGACTATAGTATCATTTTAACTATAATACAATTTCATTTGAAATTATACACATAATATTTGTTCAGGTATTACAATCATCTTATATGTGTTGGAATGTTACCTCACAGCATTTTTTGTTTGAAATCATGACTGTATTTTATTTATTTATTTTTTATTTTTTGAAGGGAAATCATGACTGTATTTATTTTCAAATGGTTGTAAAACTTAAGATGAATTTAAGCTTAAGCATAACAGATATTGTAAGTTTTAAGTTTTTTGCATGCTATATAACAATGTTATCACCTTTTATTAAGTTTTTTGACTAGCTGCAATGGTGTTGGAATGAAAAGAACTGGTGCGGTGAAACTCATAGCTTGTTGTTGCGGTGAAACTCCTAGACGGTAAGACATGGTGTTGTAAAAAAATAATGAAGTTAAAACTGTGCTTTTCCCTTTTATATTACCAAAAAAAACACGTCACAAACATGCCATTAGACTGATAAAACGATCATCGTCTTATCTTATTTAATAAACTAAAGACATTTAAAAACATGATTCACACTACTCTATAGACCTAGTCCACGGTATAACAATTGTTATAACCGTGTGCCAACAAACGTTACCTATAATTTCATAGGAGGGTTAAAACCTACTCAAACTGTTTCATCACATCCATGAAATAATAAATAACGAAAACAAATTGGGCTTAGAAAAAGAAATTCATACAAAATTCTCAAGCTATTCTGACGAACCCTAGGCCCTAACCAGCCTAAAATCAAAATTCGATTCCCTTCCCTGTGACGCGTCCCTCAATTGGTGGGACGGGACCTTTTACGGCTAAAACACTTCACTTTGCTCAAATAATTTAGGGTTTCTAAGCAAGGAGATCGGAGGAGAGAAAAATGTCGGATCAGAGGTTGACGCGTATTGCAATCGTCAGCTCCGACAAGTGCAAGCCCAAGAAGTGCCGTCAGGAATGCAAGAAGAGCTGCCCCGTTGTAAAAACCGGTAATTCACTATATTCATGTGTCTCAAATATATTTTATGATAATCTGTTCGTTTAAAAAAAAAAATTATCTGCAGATTTTGATTCGTTATATTTACAGTTGTGAACTCCTTTTCCTTCTAAGAGATGCATCCGCGGATAGTAATTCAGATGAATCTTGATAAGATTATTGACTAGAGTGTAATTGGAGGTCTTGTTTTAACGATTGGGTGATAAAGTTCATATTTTTATTGTGTTTTCATCTCTTACTATTTTTCCCTTTGTTGTGCATCATGTAACTATGCCGCATGTATCACAAATATTGTGAATTTTTGTTAATATTATTGATTAGGTTGTAATTGAAGGTTTGATTTAAACAGTTCAGTGATGAAGTTTGAATTTGTATTGCTCTTTTCTCTGTTATCTATTTTCCATTGTTAATGCCTCATAGTATGAGTTTGTGACATCTAGCAACATCTGATGAGTTGTTACACTGGCAATATATTCCACTATCTTTTTTAGTTTTTACTAAAGAGCGTCAGCCCCTTTGAGGTCACTTTTTGTATATTATCTGTTCTTGGAAGAATGGTCTTTCTATTCTTTTTCTTTCATTCAGGTCCAAATTAATTTGATTAAATTGGTTATGCATGCAAAAACATAGTCACAAAGAACCTAGACAAATGGGGTTGGAAAGTGTTTAAGATTACACACCTTTTTCAGGAGTTTCTATCAGTTTCCAGTGAAGCTTTAGTTGCTTGCATTGATTTTGAAGTAAAAAATTGTCATTGCATGCAATTTACCTTCTCAAAATCCACTTTTCTAGTTATGTTATGTTTTTAAAGGGATGCTGAATCTTATATTCTACTGTCTGATATTTCATATGTGATGGTTCTGTGATTTTTATTTTTATTTTTATTTTATTTTTAATTAAGAAACTTGATATACCACAATATCCATAGGCCTTTACTGGACTAGGACTAACCAATTCTTACAAGCAATGCTTTGTTATTGTAGGCAAACTTTGTATTGAGGTTGCTCCTGCATCCAAGATTGCTTTCATCTCAGAGGAGTTGTGCATTGGATGCGGTATTTGTGTTAAGGTTTGTAGACTCCAAACATTCATAAGAGTATTTTTTATCCTCCTATGGACTTTTAATGCAATTATCTGATATTCCGATTACTTTTATCCTTAAAAAAAAAACAGAAATGCCCATTTGAAGCAATTCAGATTATAAATCTGCCAAAGGACTTGAACAAGGATACTACCCATCGTTATGGTCCTAATACGTTCAAATTGCACAGGTTAGTTGTTAAACTTCTAGTTCGTCAAGCAATTACCACTAATTCTCTGCTTAAACTAATTGGAAATATTTATCACAGATTGCCAGTTCCAAGACCCGGACAAGTTCTTGGCTTGGTTGGAACAAATGGTATTGGCAAATCAACTGCGCTTAAAGTTTTGGCTGGGAAACTAAAACCGAATTTAGGGCGCTTCAATGTAATACATTTGGATCTCGTCATTTTGCGTAACATTTGTTTAAGGTATATAGAAGGCTTACTATTCTGTGTTTATTTCTTGCAGAACCCTCCAGATTGGCAGGAGATATTGACTTACTTCCGAGGTTCTGAATTACAGAATTACTTCACTCGTATTTTGGAAGACAATCTAAAGGTGAGTTCTGTTTGTGGTGCTTTTATGATGTGCTTAATTGACTGCATTCTTGATGATTTATGATGATACCAATCTTGATGGTTCACAAACATTTGCAGTATATACTTTGTCTTTTCTGCGCATATGTAAAGGATATACATTTTTTAAAGAATTTGAAGTTTTATGTTTACTTTTAGTGGCAATCTGACAAAAGCAATGTTTAGTATGAAAACTTTTACTTGCCTTATTTACAGTCCTTTACTTATGATGCATTTTTTTTTCTTTAATAGGCTATTATCAAACCTCAATATGTTGACCATATTCCAAAAGCTGTCCAAGGAAATGTGGGTCAAGTCCTTGATCAAAAGGATGAGAGAGATGTCAAAGCAGAACTTTGTCTCGATCTTGAATTGAATAAGGTTTTGGACCGTAATGTAGGAGATTTGTCTGGTGGAGAGCTTCAACGATTCGCTATTGCTGTTGTTGCTATACAAAATGCAGAAATTTACATGTTTGATGAACCATCAAGCTACCTTGATGTGAAGCAGAGACTCAAAGCTGCTCAAGTTGTCAGATCTTTGCTCCGACCCAACAGGTTCTACTCTGTCCTTTCTTCCTTTTCCTGTCAAGTATTCAAGCACTCCATTTACATATATTTGAGTTTTTGAATTTCATCAAAATTGTTTTTAATACTGCCACAGCTATGTAATTGTCGTGGAGCATGATTTGAGTGTTCTTGATTATCTGTCGGATTTCATCTGCTGCCTATATGGGAAGCCTGGGGCATATGGTGTTGTAACCCTTCCATTCTCTGTTAGAGAAGGAATTAACATATTCTTGGCAGGGTTTGTGCCAACAGAAAATCTTCGATTCCGTGACGAATCTCTTACTTTTAAGGTATTGTTTCTTTTGCTAATTAATTAATTCATTCTTGCCAGCAACATCATCTAATTCTTCTTTCATTTGCCCCCAGGTCGCTGAGACCCCACAGGAGAGTGCAGAGGAAATTGAAACATATGCACGGTATAAATACCCTACCATGACAAAGACACAGGGTAATTTCAAACTGAAGGTTGTTGAAGGTGAATTTACCGACTCTCAGATCATTGTAATGCTTGGTGAGAATGGAACTGGGAAGACAACATTTATCCGCATGCTGGTATGTTTCTTTGGGATTTCTCCGAATTCTAAATTGCTAAAACCCTGTATAGAATTTTCCAACTTTGTGAGTTCCCCTTCTTTAAACTCTTCTTGAAACAACAGGCTGGGTTGCTGAAGCCTGACAGTGTTGAAAGCTCTGATGCGGAGATTCCTGAGTTTAATGTCTCCTACAAGCCACAAAAAATTAGCCCCAAATCTCAATCTACTGTGAGACATTTGCTACATCAGAAAATACGTGATTCTTATACCCATCCTCAGTTTAACTCAGATGTTATGAAGCCTCTGCAAATCGAGCAATTGATGGATCAAGAAGTCGTGAACTTATCTGGTGGAGAGTTGCAAAGAGTTGCCTTGGTTTTGTGTCTTGGGAAGGTAAATCCTCTCTAGTCTACTACGGGTGGTATACTTGATTACTTGTCATATTCAGTTTATGCAATTTATTGGGTTTTCGATCTCATTTGTGAGCTGAACTCTCTGCAGCCTGCCGATATCTATTTAATTGATGAACCGAGCGCATATCTAGATTCTGAGCAGCGTATCGTCGCTTCGAAAGTTATAAAGAGGTTTATTCTTCATGCAAAGAAGACCGCGTTTGTGGTGGAACATGACTTCATAATGGCAACCTACTTGGCCGATAGAGTCATCGTGTATGAAGGGATGCCATCGGTGGATTGTATAGCAAATTCACCACAGTCATTGTTGACCGGAATGAACCTATTCTTATCTGTAAGCCTTTCCCTATTTATATCTCGGTTTTTGTTTGGTTTCCTTCCTTCCTAACCCATACGAAAACAAATAACTCTCTGGGGGGGAGTTGACCTTTCTTGGATCTATTTCTTATGATTATGATTCTTGTACATTGCTCGATTTTCACAGCACCTGGATATTACGTTTAGACGGGATCCAACTAATTATCGCCCAAGAATCAACAAACTGGAGTCAACCAAGGACAGGGAGCAAAAGGCAGCAGGATCATACTATTACCTGGATGATTAAATGTAACTTTTAACACATGCCTCTTTTTACTGGCACCTTTGTTGAAGATGAAATGGTCTTTTGTGTCCTCTGATTGTTATAGGTTTAAAGTTTTATTTAGTTTAGTACAATCACCGGGGGCCCTTATGCGAAGAGAAGAGTAACGATTCAAAATCGCCTTTTCTGGGCCATTTTGTGCAAGTAATTTTGGGTAAGTTCTGCTTGTATTATTTTTACCTGACACAAAGAATGCCTTACACATACACAGTGTTGGTTAGCAAATTTTTGTTTGTTTTTATTTTTTATTTTTAGAATATATTGGATGGATGGTTTTCTTTATCCCCTAAAATATGCAATCAAATACGTCTCTGTATGATTTTGCCATTTCGTGAACAAGCTGTTGGAGACATTTTTGTTCATGAGTTATGACTATTTTACCAAGTCTGACGGCGGTTTGATCTCAACAACAATAAGTCAATAATGTATATTTGGTATATAAATAATATATTTTTAGTATTTTAAAAATGTATAGCATGGTTCACATAATAATTTGCTGCAATAAATGGAACCAGGATCGGTGCAAGTTCAAATGGTTTTAAAATTTTAATTTATCATGGTCCAAAATGATGTCGTTGAATTTTTGAGCTAGAATAATATTCCCTGGTTAAAATAATGTACATTATATGTTAGAATAAAATATATTATATTTAGAATAATGTACATTATGTGTTAGAATAATGTATATTATGAGTTAGAATAATGTACATTATGTGTTAGAATAATGTATATTATGAGCTAGAATAATGAAACTTCTAAGGTAAGATAACATATATTATTTATTAGAATAATGTACATTATGTGTTAGAATAATGTATATTATGAATTAGAATAATGAAACTTCTAAGGTAAGATAATGTATACGGAGTATTATTTATTAGAATAATGTACATTATGAGTTATAAAAATATATATTTAGCGATCGCTTATTAAAAAATTGCATGAAACGATGTCATTTTCTAACCGTGATTTACACAACCGCAAATTATGCTGTGCAACCGAATGCACCATGCGCATGGTGCATACAATGCAAAATGACGTCGTTTTGGTTAAAAAACGCGCGTCCCACTTAAAAAAAAATCAGATTCAATTCTCGGCAATAGCAATTTTTATATATCCATAAATTCATAACTATATATCCATAAATTCAAAACTATATATCCACAAATTCATAACTATATAGTATGTATCCACAGTGAATGAATGAAGTAAAAATCCACAATGAATAACCTAAATATCCACAATGATTGAACTAAATATGCACAATGAATGAACTAAATATCCAGAAATTCATAACTATATATCCACAGTGAATGAATGAAGTAAATATCTACAATGAATGAACTAAATATCCACAATGAATGAACTAAATATCCATAAATTCATAACTATATATCCAGAAATTCATAACTATATATCCACAATAATGCTATTGCCAAGAATCGAACTTGATTTTTTTTTTTTTAAATGGGACACGCGTTTTTAGTCAAAACGACGTCGTTTTGCATCGTATGCCCCATGCACATGGTGCATTCAGTTGCACAGCATAACTATTGCCACTCTTGGACAATAATTCTGGGAGGTTAAGATTAGTTTAACTAATCTAGAAAATCTAATGTATCAAAAACAAAATCTATAGAGATCAGAGGGCGAACACAAACGAAAAAAAAAAAAAAAAAACTAAAATCTGTACAGCTAGTCAGCTACTGATATTAGCAATTTAGCATAAAGAAATATACAGGAGCACAACGTCATGATTATATCCCGAAGCTCTCAGATCTCTGTTAGTTTCAGTTAGCAGAGCAGAGAGAGTTGAGAACTGCCACTGCCCTCATTTCAGGCACACTCCCACAGCTATCCCATCGACATTTGAGGTATTTTCTTCGTCGTTTTCCTTAACTTCTATTATTTTGTTGAATATAGGTAGTGCTTGTTGAGTTTGGATAGGGTTATTAGCTAGGGTTGATTGTTGAATGATTGAAAATCCCTATATTTGCAACTTTAAATTCCTGGAAAATTTCACAAGTATTTGCTGCTTAGCAGAGCAGGAGGCTCCATTAATCTAGGATTTGAATTGTGTTTGGGTGGTTCACATTTGAATTGTGTCAATTGTAATTCTAATCTTCTAAACAATCAAGTTTGGAAGATATATGACCCGTTTGGTAAAATAGTTAGTCTATAGGCCAATTTTGATTTATTTGACAATTATTAACTTTTTGATTTGGTTAAAAAATCAATATTTAGTTTTTTGTAACTCTAAAATGCTAAAATTCAAAAAGCTGCTCAAAGCAACTTTTTCAATTAGCTTTTTGAGAAAGGAAATTATACCAAACCTATCAACTACCAGCTAATTTATCAAACACCTTACTACAATCAGCTAATGTTATCAACTAGTTATACCCTCTAATTAACCCAATCAGCTAATAGCTAACAGCCATTACCAAACAGTGCATGAATTTTTCACACATTAACCCAGTTTTGATCCACCCTATGCAATCTGTAGTTAACTTGAGTGGATTGAAAACCATTTGCTTTGGTAGCGGATTTTAAGAAGTTAGATTTGCATCCAATCTACTAGTGGTGGATTTCCGCTAAGTGGATCCACATTCCATCCACTTTAGATGCGGATTGGATGGGAGCGGATTTGGAGATCCTTGCTCACCTATTGCATTGTAACATTTCCCTTGAAAATAAATAACAATAAAATATTATTTAGCTGTTCTTGTTTACTTTTGAGAAATTATGGTCCAATTTCAATTTATCAGTTTTAAATTGAGAAGAATTAAGAAAATGGCAATAGAAGAATACCCAAATTTACTCAGATTCTAATGTTTTATAAATGTATTTGATAATTTACTTACATTTTGTGTGTGTGTGTGGCATTAACTCAGATATTATGGCAGAAGATATGATAATAGCACTTTACTGGGGAGGGGATATAATTCATGGTGACCAGCGGGGTGTACGTTATTCAACGAATGTGGTAGATTGGCTTATAGTCGACCAAGATATTGGTTACAATGGTTTGCTTTCCAAGGTTCAAAAGGTGATGGCAACCGACCCTAGTCAAACAAGATTGAAGTTGAAGTGTAGATACCCCATTGTTGCTGACAGCTCTGAGTATGTGGTGCTCGAATTCAATAGCCAGAGAAGGTGGGAAAGAATACTTCAAACATTCAGTGCACTTCAAGGAAGAACGGGGTTGATTGAGATTTTTGTGGAAATCGAGTATACCACCTCCTGCAACTAGCTAGTAATCGGCATTTGGCAGAAGGGACAATGAGTAGGGTGTAGCTGAGACCTCCTGTAAAGAGCACTCCAGTTCCAACTGTGGGATGAGAAGGTAACATTCATGGCACTTCCTCACCTGCTGTATGGTGTCTGGCATTCTAGTCTACTGCACCAAAGTCTACCACTAACTCAGATCTCCACCATGAATAGAGTGGGATGTTTTTGCTGACCATTCTGCGTCGTGGTTATTGTGATTTCTGTGGTTTGTTTTGAGTTTGGTACTTTCTTGTTTCTAGTCATGTAATGTTGTTTGTTTGATTCAGCCTAATATGTTGTGCTGGAGACTAATCCTCGTTTGCACTGGGCTGGTCCAATTAAGGTGTAAAGTGCTGATTAGATTGGTTTTTTCAGACGAGAGGGGGTTTCAACTCCCGACTGTTTTTAAAGGATGAGAGTGCACGACCACTCACGCTAACCAAGCTGGTCATGTGATGGAAAAAATTAATTTGGGGTGTGAATGAATTAGCCCAAGATAACAATAAAAATGGATAAATGATTAATATAAATTGAATGCTTGAAATAGGATAAAGAACTTGTCATATTTGATCAAGATTACTTTGAGATTACAAGATTGAAGTGTAAGAATGAGGCCTAAGGTGTCCCCACAAGACAAAAATATGTCTATTTATACAATAAGTCCAATGACTCTTTTCGTAATGTCCCGAGCTATTCGGACGCTCCCTACAGGCAAATTGAATCCAACACTTTCCTGGGATTAATTTAATATGCTGCCAAGAATTAGGTTCATTCCCTCTTGGGATTGATTTAATCTGCTATCCTGAAACAGATTGAACAAAACTGAGACTAGCAGGATTGGATCCATGAACAACCCTTAGTTAGTCTCTTCTATCCCAATCCTACATCAATAAGACTATAAGCAGCAGGCTTTGCTAACTTTTTACTCTGAACCATATCTCTCAATTCCACAGCTTCTTTCCAGCTCCCAGTAGCAACATACATATTTGATAAGGAGACATAGTAACCCACATTCTCAGGTTTTAAAGAAAAGAGTATATTTGCCACCTTTTTCCCCAGCTCGAGATTGCCATGATAGTTGCACGCACTTAGCAGAGCCCCCCAGATGCCTGATTCGGGTTGGCTTAGCATGTCCTCGACAAAATTATAAGCCTCCTGCAGCCTTCCTGATCGGCCTAGCATATCGACTATGCAGACGTGATGATCAGTGGTAGGCTGCACACCGAAACTAGTTAACATATGGTCGTAATACCAGCAGCCTTGATCAACAAGGCCTGAATGACTGCAAGCTGTTAACAGGTTAACGAATGTGGCTTTCGTTGGGCTCATTCCAGACTCGATGAGTTCAGTGAATACTTCAATTGCTTTCTGACCATTGCTGTGTAACCCATAAGCAGCAATCACAGAATTCCAAGCTGCAATAGATTTCTCAGGTGATTTCTGGAAAACTTGAAGAGCAATGTCTAGCCTGCCACAGCTGCTATACATATCAACAAGAGCAGAAGAGATGACAGAATTTTTAAAGTATCCGGACCTGAGGACATGCCCATGGATCTGCTTTCCATGCCGGATTATTCCAAGTTGCGTGCAAAGTGAGAGAATGGTAGCAAGACTGATCTCGTCTGGTTCAAATTCGAAAGTATGGAATAGTGCTAGTGCTTCTTTGGCTTTGTTATTCTGAGCTAAAGCAGATATCATGCAATTCCACGTGCACAAATTACGATCATGGCAAAGGTTAAAAACCAAGCTTGCACTCGTAGTGTCAGCCAATCTTGCATACATAGTAATTAAGACATTTTGCACACGGATATCTTTACCTGATGAGGTCTTAAGAGCTAGACCATGAATCAATTTTCCCTCATTTACCAATTGAAGGTATCCACAAGCTGATATGGCATTGACTAGAGTAATTGAATCATGGTTGACACGCGATATTTGCCTCATCAAGTTGAATGCCTCTAAAGCCATCCCAAAGTGGTTGTTCTGTGTGCATCCAGAAATCACAGCATTCCAACTATCAACATCAGCAGTAAATGAAATTTCCTCCAGTGATTTGAAAGAAGCTACTAAATCTCCACAATGAATATACATGTACATCAAAGAATTTACTGCAAGAATGTTACTTTCATATCCCAATTTTACATGCCAGCAATGTATTGATTTCCCGAATTGAAGAAACTGAGGGGAGTCACAAGAAGAGAGAATCCCAAGAAGAGTCGGTAAGCTACAGCTTAAATGCTGGTCTTGAAGGTTCTTAAATAAAGCCTGAGCTTCTCTATTGCACCCGTTTTGGGAATACCCAGAGATCATAGTATTCCAAGTGACTAAATCCTTAACTGGCATAGTTCTGAGTAAGTGCTCAGCTTTCTTGGCATTGTTTCCACTTAAATACATGTTTAGAAGAGAGTTCATCACGGATAAACTAGATTCCATCCCTCTTCTAATGATGTAACCATGAACTGCTTTTCCTTCTCTTAGTAACATGAAGTCCGAAGCCATTGAAATAATGGAGACCAGAGTTGTTGCTTCAGGCTTCATAGATCCTATGAACTGCATTATATGCAGAAGATTAAATGATTCAATAACCTCGTCATTCAAAGCCAGCCCATTAATCATTGAATTCCATGTAATCACGTCCTTACACTCCATCTCCTTGAAGACATATTTTGCAGCATCGACTTCTCCATATTGAGAATAGAATGAAATGAGAGAGTTAGCCACAGAAATATGGCCTCTCTCTGCATAGCCAAGCTTAATAACCAATCCATGAATTGCTAGGCCACTTGTGAGCTCCTCTAAACAAGCAGATGCTGCAATAGCACACGAAAGGCTCACACTATCTACTTGTTCTGAAATAGAAACCATCTGCTTGAAATACAACAAGGACTTCATAGGGTGACCATTATATAAACACCCACTAATGATCGAGTTCCAAGAAACCGTATCTTTAAACTCCATTTCTCTGAAAACATTCTCTGATGAGCACAAATCATTACATTTTGCATAGACGTCAAGAAGAGCATTGCTCAAAAAGGAATCTGAAAGTGTTCCTGCTTTCACACACAAAGCGTGAACTCCCATACCTGCTCTCAAATCTTTCATATTGCACAAGGCTGAAAGAAGAATAACAAGACTGGTAGAATCAAACTCATTCCCTACTTGAACCATTTCAAGAAAGAAATTCACTACGGCCTCAAATAGATTATTCTCAATGCAAGCAGTCATGATAGCATTCCAAACAATCACATCCTTATCAAGAACTTCACTAAACAGAGCCATTGAGGAGCTAAAACTCCCACCCCTTGAGTATATCATAAGCAGAGAAGTAACCGTGGGTAGATGGCCAAGAGCACCAAGTTTGATCACCAAGGCATGTGCTATTTTGGCATTGATAAAACTTGGCTTCTCTCTAACAAGCCTAATGAGTTCAAGCACATGACTTATGTTGGAAACTTGGGGATACTGAGCAACCCTTTGTGACATTTTGTCAAATGCTTGGCAGGCAGAGGCATGCAGAAGTACAGGTGACGAACAACGGAAAATGGTAGGAAGAGGGTTGATGGATAAAAGGGCATTTGTCAAAATGGATTTTTGGGAAAAATAACAAGAATTGTGTTGAAAGGGAGAGAGAAATCGAGAGATTTTTCTTGGTGGTGCAATTCTTGCAAGGGAAAAAATAGATGCCACTTTGAAGAGCTTTCTCATAAGAGTAAATTTATAGATTGCCCATTTGATGAACACGATGAAGCCACTGAGACTCTGAGAGCTCAGAGCCGGAAGCAAGATACAATACAATATGTCCAATTTTACCCGGGTGTTTGCAATATTTGAACTGACCTTTATGCCTTTATTATAATCTTTATTTATAAAATTGACATCTCTTATTTTCACAACTAGTATTTGCACTCGTGCGATGCACGGAATGAATATGTTGTAATATATTAAGAATATATGAATCGATATATAATTATTTAAATTAGTACATCAAATATTATATAGTGCAATTAAATATATGGTTTGGATCGTTTATATATTTTGATGTTATCATTGCTTAAATTTGTGCAAATAATTGCTCAAATTAATAGCTAATGTCTAGATGTACGCATACGGTGCTATAACTTTGAAGATTTTATTTATCATTATTTTGTATTTTCATAAATTAGGCAAATGTGCTCGTTATCTAACAACTCAGTTATAGAAATGAATTGGTATCCTTATTCATTTGTATCGAAGATATATTTTTTTGTCTAGATCTATACCAATTTTTTTCATTTAAAAAAAAAAGTTAATATCATCGATTATATTTACACATTATTGAAACCTCTTTGTAGACGACATTGGTAGTGACAACACAAGCTTGTTTATCTTCGTCTAGAGCTAACACCTTCAATTCATCAGGACGGGTTACTTGGGTTAAAATATATATAATGGTAGAATATTATATAACTATATGTTCATAATTATGTTCACAGCACTATGTTCATAATTATAGAACTATATGTTCATAATTTTTGAACTATATATTCATAATTATGAACAATTTTTTAACTGTGTTTATCTTGCAAGGTGGACACAGATCCACAGCATAATTTGTCAGGTCCAATAGTACTAAAAAAAAAAAAAAAAAAAAAAAAAACCTTTGGGCTTCTCAATTCTTGCCCACATTGATGGAAAAGCAATTATATGTTTGTAAATACCCCTCTCATATAGAGGAGTTTAAGAGCCCCTCTTTTCAAACATTTTCAATGTGGGATCGAAATGATCCCACATCATTTACAAAGGGGAGCCACCTTTATCTTCTTCCTATTTTTTATTGATTTTAATTTTATTTTGTATATAGTTTTGTTTGAATTATTATTATTATTATTATTATTATTATTATTATTATTATTATTATTATTATTATTATTATTGTTGTTGTTGTTGTTGTTGTTGTTGTTGTTGTTGTTGTTGTTATTTTAATTTTAATTTTAATTTTATTTTATTATTATTACATTATTACATAAAATTTTTATTATACTTGTGAACAATAATATTATCAATTATTATAAAATACAATACCATACATAATATTACCAATTAATAGATTTTATTTAATTTTCATTAAACATTTACTTACCAAATAAGCTTTACTACAAAAGTTTGGGTGGAAAAATGAAATAAGATGATTTTGTTTTGTTTTGTTTTGTTTTTTTGAAAAGGGATGATTTTGTTTTTATTTTATAATATATATATATATATATATATATATATATATATATATATATATATATATATATATATATATATATATATATATATAAAATAGATTAATTATTACCCTAATACTTAATTTATAATTCTGACTTTAAAATTCTCATTATTATTATTAACATTAACATTTGATTAGTTTTATAAAAAAAATGTAAATTTTAAATTTTGTATGAATAAATTTAAACTCGAGAAAATTTCAATTTTGGTCCACTGACTATTGGGGTTGTGTTAATTGCAACACTTGACTTTCAAAAATGTTTATTTAGTACCTTGACTATGCAATTTCTATCAATTTTGGTCACGTCGGCCAAATTGCCGGCCAAATCTCATCGGAAAAATTTAATAGGTCAATTTATGAGGGTATTTTAGTAATTTTACTCCTCTTTTTTCTTCTCCAATAATATTTCCATTTTCCGGCGATTTCTGATCATCACTAGTTTCAGCTTCATTCCTTCCGGCGAATCTTGAAACATCGCAATCCGTCGAAAAGATACCCGAAGAGAAAAACTGTTTGTCTCCACCTAGAACCGGCATCGCCACTCCCATCTTCACCCTGCTCTCGTACTACCTCCCATAAGTCTGTCCCAGAACCCCGTTAACTTCCCCGCTCAGCGACTCGAACTTGAAGCTCAGATCCAAATGCGCGAAGCAGTCTTCTCCGGTGATCCCGTAATTATGGACCCGCGAATCCCACGGCGTTGGCGTCGCACTCTGGCTTTGATCTGGAAGTTCCCCTCCACTGCAATCACCACGGCGTTGGCGTCGCCGGTTCTGGTGATGGACACTCCAGGAGCTCCGGCGGGTTCCCACTTGGCGCCTTCGCCGTCGGCGAGGAAGACTGGGTAGCCGTCGAAGGCCAGGTCGAGGCGGTCGTCTGCGTCGTTCCAGGTGGGGGTGTTCTTGGCGCCGATGAAGAGCTGGTGGTGGTCGAAGATGGTCTCAAGAAGGTCAGAAGAACAACTACTATACGCTGACTCGATGCGGAGGAGTTGCAGCAAATCGGCGAATATCCGTAGTGGTTGTTTTATCCCAGTGTATGATTTGGTGAGGAACATTGATTTTGTAATGGTTGTTTTATGGGATGATTCTACTGACATCCATGACTGCATGATGGAGGCGGATTAGAGAATGGAACTGTTGGCCTGCATTGTGTTATTGGAAGACGATTTGGTGCATTTTTCCAGTCATTTTGGTTTGGGAGTTCTCTGTCCATATCTTGCTTTGCTAGTGATCATATGCTCTCTGCCATTCAAGAGTTGTTCTCAGTGGGTTCCATTCCTTCGGAGAGGAGGAGGTCGACAAGGAAGGCGGTGGCGGCGGAGATGCGGCGACCAATCGTCCAGAGAAGACGATCGGATTAATTAACTGTGGTAGAAAGACGAAATTACCCTTGAAATTAAAGATTAATTGGCTAATTAAATTTTTCCGATGAGATTTCGCCGGCAATTTGGCCGGAGTGACCAAAATTGATAGAAATTGCATAGTCAAGGTACTAAATAAACATTTTTGAAAGTCAAGTGTTGCAATTAACACAACCCCAATAGTCAGTGGACCAAAATTGAAATTTTCTCATTTAAACTCTAATTCGACGCATTTTCTTATATGATTTTATAATTCATTGTATATACACATAATATTTATTAATATGTATATTGGAAAGTTCTATAATATAATTTCATTAATTATAATTTATATTGATAGATTTGTAATTTAAAAAATTACATTTAAAAATGTAAAAAGTAGCATTTAAATTTTGCATGATTATTATAGTGAATAAGTGTATGTATGTATATTTTAAAAATTAAAAATATTCATGTTTTGTTAATTTAATAATTTCATTTCTTTAATTATATTTCATATTTTATTAATTGTAATTTAATGAAATTGCCACAAATATTTCTATGGAAGAAATCTTATATTTCTCAATTTCATTAATTATATTAATTATAATTACCAAATATTGTGGCAATTACCATAATAATCTCATTAATTATATTAATTATATTAAGTATAATATTTGTTCTAATCTTTTCCAATATATAAATACATTACCATAATAATTACACAAAAGAATGAAAGACAAATTATCAGAATAATTACCTTTAATAAAAATAAGGAAATTATATTCAAAACTCCAATATTTGAATACATTACCATAATAATTACACAAAAGAATAAAAGAAAAATTATCAGAATAATTACCTTTAATAAAAATTAATTATATATTAAGGTAAGTATAATTTATTTCATGCCAATAATATTATACATTAAGTATAAAAATATATATGTATATAAACTACCATAATAATTACACCGAAAAAGGTAACAATATATAATTATTAGGCAATAATATTAATAATTAATTATTAAGGCAAGTATAATTTATTTTGTACTAATAATATTATACATTAAGTATATATATACATACACACACACACACACACACACACACACACACACACACACACACACACACACACACACACACACACACACACACACACACATATATATATATATATATATATATATATATATATATATATATATACTTTTAATTTTATATTGATAACCATAGTCTATGTATATACTTTAAGAAAATATTCATTATTAAAATGGAGATATAATTTAAAGAGTAAATTATTAATTTGATTAACTAATGTAATTGTCTTACTAATTGATTCCATGCTACTATGTATAATTCATACATTTGAAAACTTTTTAAATCTAAATACTTATTAATTGTCTTAATAATTAAGATAATTGTTAGTCAATCAATATTCAATAGTACTAAAAGTATTATTTTGAATTTTTATACATAAGATATAATATTATTAAATAGAAATAATTAAAAATAATGTGTCCATATTACAAAAAATTTTATAATAGTTTTTATTACCTAATAGAATTTGTCAATTATTAAACATTGTTTATGGTAATTATTGTCTGACATTTAATACTAATATTATTAGGTAGAATTTTTTTAATTAAGGTATAATATTATTACTGCCAATTTTCTCTCTAGACTCTAGGATAGCATTTTTGTATGTAATTACATTGCGTGGCGAGTTACCAACAAACTCAACAACCAAGTTAAAAGAGTTTCAAGATTAATTATGATTACTGAATCCTAGTGTCCCGGCACAAAATTTTCAAAAAGGATAATATTATTAAATCAAAATTATTAAAAGTAATGTATTCCCAATATAAAATAAATTATACTTGTCTTAATAATTATTTTTTTAATGCTATTGACTCTATTATATTGTATTAATATAAATTTACAATAATCATTTATTAATATAAATTTACAATTATAAATTTGTATAAGGAAAGCATAGAAATTTTTAGTAAAAAAAAAAAAAAAAATCTCTCCATTTTATTTTTCTCTTTCCTCACCCTCACATTCCCACCCTCTTTAGAAAAAGGCAAAATAAGATGACAAATGGCCTCTATCTACAACGTCTTCACCCCGCAATTCGATTTAGTTTTTGCTTGATTGTTGTTTTGCCCTACGAACCACGTAAACCCTTAACGCTGCTTGTTAAAAAAAACATAGAAACTTGAATGACATGTAC